CTCTCCTCTCCTCTTCTCTTCTCTTCTCTCTCTCTCTCCCTCTCTCCCTCTCTCCCTCTCCCTCTCCTCCCTTCTCTTCTTTGACTGGCCTCTACAGTCCTGCTAATAAAATCTTGGTCAGGTAAATGGTTGTTTTTTCTTGAGTTTACGTAGCTTTTCCATCGTCCTTTACACCTATCATTTTCAGTAACTACAAGGCTATTGGGACAAATGATCAAGTAATCTTTATACAAAACCACATTGCCTTTCAGAAGTAGGAGAAGAATGACTTTGGAATAATAAGACCTGGGTTTGAATTCCTTAGTTCTCCAGCTTCCCCAAGTCTGCTTTCTGATCTGTAAAAGGGATGATACATGCCTCTGGGGAGACTGTAAGAAGAGTAAATGAGAAACATATAAAATGCTTAGCATAGGACCTCACTCACTGCAAGCCTCAGTAACAACAGCTGTTTTTATTGTAGGCATTCTAGGCAGCTCCAAAGCTTGTTTCAATGCTAAAGGTGAAACTAGCTAATGTAAGTAAGTTCTCAAATTTTTATTTAAATCTTGTTTCTGGTGTCAATGACTAGGTATAATTCTTGTTCATTCAACAGCTTATCCTTTTTTTATTAATTCATTTTTCATTAATTTATTCAATGCCAGGTATACAATAAATGTTTATTAAATACTACAGAGTGAATAATAAGTGTCTTGAGAGAAATCAAGATTTGGGAGCCTATGCCCTCAATGATAATTCCACATGAGCACAAAATGCCCTGTCATCAGGTCCAGGTTATTGTGCTGGATGCTTAAAGTGCAAACCCAGTCATCACCTATCTGGAGCACAGCCAAGAAGACAGAGCATTTCTTTAAACCTTCTAATCTATACCTACTCACAGCAGATGAGGGGCTCATACATAAAGGGGAAAATCAAGGTCACGGAACTCTGTTGCTCAATTTCCCTTCTCTACCCCTCTACTGTTTCCTGTAGACTCTAGCCTTACCTCCTTCTCTGCTATTTCTTCCCTCCAACACCCCAAACAGAGTTAATCACCCCCACCTCTCTGGCACCATTGAACAAATTTCTATTACTGTTCAAATCACTTGGTTTCAGAGTTAATCTGGCTGTGAATTTGCCCTCCACAAGGACTGGATCTATCTGTGTCTCATTCCTTATATGTCCAACACATGGCCTGACATTTGGTAGAGCTCAGTACACACTTACTGATGGGATTCTTCTTTTTGTTTTGGTACTGGGGATTGACCCACTGACTCACATTCCCAACCCCTTTTTATATTTTAGTTAGAGATAGGGTCTCCCTGAGTTGCTTACGGCCTCAAAAATTTGCTGAGGCTGAATTTGGACTCCAGATCCAGTCTCCCAAGCCTCTGGAATTACAGGCATGCACTACCATGCCCGGCCAGATAGGGTTATTGAACTATCCCTTCCCTTTAGTAGGCTCTTTAAGAAATAACCCTTCCAAAAGACCTATTTGATAGCTCAGTCTCCACTTCCTTGTCCTAGACTTTTCTCTCTTTTCCCACAATCAATCTCTCACCAAGTCCTAGGGATTCAACCTCTAAAATATTTTCTGAATCTGTCCATTTCTTAGTGCCTCCACCCTATGCAGACAGAATTATCTTCCCTTTGCCTGTTTCCTTGTGCAGTGTCCTACCTTGGGCTATTTACCCTCTTGCCTAACCCCAGTCTATTCTGCAGGGAACTTTTATGTTATTTAAAAAATGTTAATGACATCACTAACCTGCACTTTCAATAGCTTCCCAGTGACCTGAGTGTTGAGAGCCACAACCAAGTCAAGATGGCGCCTGGCATTTTGCCAGAGGAGTGGTTGAGAAGTAAGCCAGCGAGCCATTAAGATGATGATAATTAAGTTAAGCTGTGTATAATTATTAAGATAATGACTGATTGCTGTAACTGGATGATGCTAAATTGAAACAAGCTGTGTATTCAATTGTGTATATAAACCTCTGCTGTCCAGCAATAAGGCGGCTCCTGCTACCTTGGGTGCCCAATATTTTTGAGTTCCCCTTGAGTTCCCATTGGTTCTTGCGGAGTTTCCATTGAGTTCCGGTTGAGTTCCCGTGGGGTTCTGGCAATAAAGTAGTTCCTGTTTGAACCTACAAGTGGCTCGGGACTTCCTGGTTATTTGTGCCCAGCCAGACTGCGGCACCTGAGAATATGCTCCAAATTCCATGATCTGTTTTTATTTTTTTGTTTGTTTGTTTTGGGTTTTTTTTTTTTTTTTTTTTGGTACTGGGGATTGAACTCAGGAGCACTTGATCACTGAGCCACATCTCCAGCTCTATTTTGTATTTAATTTAAAGACAGGGTCTCACCCAGTTGCTTAGTGCCTCCCTAAGTTGCTGAGGCTGGCTTTGAACTCACAATCTTCCTGCCTCAGCCTCCCAAACCACTGGAACTACAGGTATATGCCACCATGCCTGGTTTCTACAGGATCTGAAGCCTGTTTTCCCCTCCTACTTTAGTTCATGCCACTCCCCTAGTTGCCCATTCTGCTCCAGCCACAAAGGTCTTGGGAATCCTGATCCACTAAACTCTTCCACTACAGGACCTTTGAACCAATTGTTTCCTTTATCTGGAGCATATCTCCCTGCTTTTCCTTCTTATTCTTCAGGTCTTCAAGTTCATACCTCAAAGTCACCCATCTCACCTTGCTCTCTCTCACAAGATCTGATTTTTAAAAATTATCTAATTATTTAATTTCTTCATTTGCTGACTTGCTTATTATTTGACCTCCCCTGTCAGAATATAAACTGCCAATGAGCAGGGACCACGTGTATTCTGTTCTCCATTGTGTCCCAAGTGCTTCGTACAAATCCTAGAGCAAAAGAATGTACTATACAAACATTCACAAGTGAATATATGAGTGAGTACTCTCACTATCTTTATTTTTTATTAATTAAATTTTATTAGTTAATTTTGGGGCATTGAACCCAGGGATTTTCTACCACTTAGCCACACCACAACTCTTTTTCTTTTTTCTTTTAAGATGTGGTCTCACTAAGTTGCCCAGGCTGGTCTTGAACTTGTGATCCTCCTTCTTCAGTCTTCCGAGTAACTGGGATCACAGGCAATGCTACTTACTGTCATTTCCAGCACCCTCACTGTCTTTAATTGCAAAGTGCCTAGCTCTTTTGATTTCATCGTTTTAACTTGCAAATAGTTTGATTTCCCAGACTGAAGACATCTTTCCCTAGACCATGTCTCCTCCTGCCCCCAAGCTCCTGCCCTATTTCTTCTGCCAAAAAAGAGTAAGTTCTGTCTAGACTTCATCCACCTGGATCGTAAAACCGCTCTCCCCAGTATCATCAGTGACCTTTATTGTTAATCCAGTGACATATGCTCCCATTCTCAGCCACTTGACCTTTCCACGGCCACATTTCCTAAAATTTATTCTGTACTACACTAGTCCCTTGAGCTGCTCTAGTGAAAAAGTGTAACCTTGTTCCTCCTCTTATACACTTTTGTAGAATCTTGTGCTTCAAAACCAACCACTTAGCACAGTGCAATTAATTTATATCTATCTTATCTGAGAATTCTTGAGGGTAAGAATACTGTCTGTTTTGTTACTGTGATAACCTCATAATTTCAGGCGTCCAAAAGATGTGTAATATTTGCTAAAATGAATGTATGAAAATATTTCCCTATGGGGAGTTCACAATGTGAATTAACAACATGCTAATGTAAATTTCTACATAAAAATCAATGTGTTTAAATCTGTTTAACCCAGGATTTCCTAAACTCAGTTGCCCTTAACTCTCTTTGCTCTCCCAGAGCCCCAGCAGAATACCACCAAGTACCCTGAGGGACTTTTAAAACACATACATTGGGGATTAGTAGGTGCTCACTATTTCTCCACATTTTCTTTCCTTGGCTTCCATAACTCCACTTTTCTTGTTTTTTTCCTCCTTTGTGGGTTATCTCACTCCAAATCATAGCAGAATAAACAGTCATTAGGGTGCTGACAACCACCAAGTCTGGATCAAACCCAGGTTTGGGGTCCCATCTTATAACTTTGTGTATATCAAACAAAAATTATAGGAAAGGATTGTTTTGGACTAATCTCCTACACTTCTCAACAGACCAGACTAAAAATCAAAATGGAGTCACTCAGGCTAAAGTTCCATGTTGTCTAACTGAAACTAAGATGTTCCTTGACCTCCTGAGAAATCAAGAGACAGAGGTAACAGCCAGGTTTCTAATTGCATAACAATGAAATTCCCTGTTTTAATCCTTACAGAAAAGGAAACTGGTATTAATTTTCTATTATTTTGGCCTTCCTATTCTTCCTTTCAAGGAAAGTAACTTTAAAAATGAGCAATTGACTCTTACTTCTGTGTTTCTGTTTTCTTCACCCCTTTGCTGTCTATAAAATCAATCTCTTCTGTTCAGCTCATTAGAACTCATTCTATTTTATGCAGTGAAGTGTTGCCTGGTTCTAGAATCTTAAGTAAGCTAATTAAGATGTTTAAATTGTTGTAACTTTGCCTTTTGACCTATATGTCTATTCTATCTCACTAGCTTTTATTTTGATCACATCCGATCTCCTCCTCTTCTTTTATCATGTATCCTAGTATCACAAGCCACGCCCCTCCCCAGAAATTTAGGGGTCTTATCTATGATGCCTCTCATCTAACCCCCTGAATTAAATGGATCAACTTTATTTTAGAAGTATTATTTTTTTAAAGAGAGAGAGAATTTTTTAATATTTATTTTTTAGTTTTCGGCGGACACAACATCTTTGTTTGTATGTGGTGCTGAGAATTGAACCCAGGCCACACGAATGCCAGGCAAGCGCGCTACCACTTGAGCCACATCCCCAGCCCTTTAGAAGTATTACAATGTTATAATTTAACCCCTTTGTTTATA